TATATTTATTACATTTTTAACTTGCACCATAAGAGTATAGAATAAAAAAATCCTTATGAGTTAAAGTATTATGGCATGTGACTGGGAATTGAGAACGATTAAAAGATGGAAACATTTTTTATATATATATTTATTGTCAAACTGTTTGTAGATTAGTTTTTGTATATTTTAAAACTAATTTATTTTAAAATAATTTCAATGGCATATCTCCCACATTGACCTAAGGGTTGATGTATTTAAAAAAATTATTTTTTTGAGCATTAGTCCCAAAATTTAAAATTAAAATTTGATTTATAAGATAATATTTATTTATAAATTAATTTGACTCTTAAAGTTAAAAATGATAAAGCACTTGGCCCTTCGGACCTAGTGGCATTAGGCCATGTATAAGTGCATTCTCTCGCAAGACTACGGTTCGAATCTGATCTTTTGTGAATTTGTCCAAAAAAAAAAGTTAAAAATGATAAAAAAAATAATTACCTTTCAATCTTCCATTGTGTTTTTTAAAATAAAATAAATAAATAAACTAAAAAATTAGGTTGTATCAATTAGTAAGGAAAGGTTGTGTTGTACCTTAATTGGATTCAAATCTTGAAACGTTTAATGCATAATGACTTTCCATGGAAACTAAACTTTGTAAGCAATAATCCTAATCATCAACTTTTTAAAAAAGGTAAAAAAAAAAAAAAAAGTCATGGTCAAAAGATAAAAATCTCCCCAAAAAAAAAGGAAAAAAGAAAAAAGAGAAAAAGTTTCAATTCTTTTCTCATAAAGAAAACCTCCAATCAATGCGAGATTGGCTTTATTTGGAAGCAACCAAATGCAATTATCATAAAGCGGAAACGCGTTAAATCATGCAGAATTTTGGTTAATTCCAATATTAAAAAACAAATTTTACATTTTCAAAAAGCCTACTCATCATCAGTCCCTGGTTTCTCTTCTTATAAAATGCTCGTATGCGCTTCATGAATTATTAGCTCCAAAAATTCCAGTTCTACAGAGCCTCAAATAAGGTACCCTTTGATGATATCCCATGAATTATCGAGCAAGATGTTGGTTTGATGATATCCCATTATACTCATTTTGTTAACAGAATCTGGGTTGTTGTTTTCAGTGGCATTGTGCAGCTGCAATGGGAAGAACAGTCGCTCTCCATTTGATAGTTGGGGTTTTGGCTGTTTTGAGTTTGTTTCTGGTCAATGCAGAAGACCCATATCTGTACTACACCTGGACTGTCACTTACGGTACTGTTTCTCCTCTTGGGGTTCCTCAACAGGTGGGTAATGGTCATCATTTTGGAAGTATTCGAGTATAATCTCGGATATATGTTCATAGTGTCTGAAGTTTTGCTTTTGGGTTTTGAAGGTTATCCTTATCAATGGTCAGTTTCCGGGACCAAAGCTTGAGGTCGTCACTAACAACAACATCATCCTCAACCTCATTAACAAGCTTGATGAGCCTTTCTTGTTGACATGGTTGGTTTCTTTTCTTTTTTCTTATTTTCCTTGCTCCTGGGTTTGTTTTATTCATGAATTGGGAGGAATAGGGGAAATCAAGATTTATTTATTTTTTTCCCTTTTGCTGTGAATTTGAACTTCTTATGAAATGGACGAAAGATGAGTCCTTAAAATTGGGAAGTGGTACAGGAGGACATATTGGGCCCTCATTTGATGTTGTTTTTCTCTGTTTGCTTGATTGTGATATCTGGATTCATGGCATTGCCATAATAAGGTCTTGTTTATTGACGACAGGAATGGAATTAAACAGAGGAAGAACTCCTGGCAGGATGGTGTATTAGGAACAAATTGCCCAATTCCACCAAACTCAAACTTCACCTTCAAGTTTCAAGCCAAGGATCAGATTGGAACCTACACATATTTCCCATCAACTCTTATGCATAGAGCTGCTGGAGGATTTGGAGCACTCAATATCTACCATAGATCTGTAATCCCGATCCCCTATCCAGCCCCTGATGATGATTTCACTCTACTTATTGGTGATTGGTTCAAGTCTAGCCATAAGGTTAGTTTACAGTTTTCTTCTGCATTGTCAATTAGGTTTCTGCTCATCTGGGATAATGTTAAGTTGTTAACCTAAGAAGGCATCCTTTTTTTACTTGTATGGATAGTAAACATGTCATTACAAAGAGTATTTAAAAGCTACATTCTTCTTGGATGGGGTTGTGTACGTGAAAAATTTACCTTCTTGCCATGCTCCACACATGGAATCTGTTAAATTTACACCTTGCTTCTTTCTTGCAGACGTTACAACATATTTTGGACTCAGGAAGAAGTCTTCCGTTCCCTGATGGAGTCCTTGTAAATGGCCAGACTACCACTACCTTTGGTGGGGATAAAGGTCCGAATTCCCCATTACTTGATTGATTGTAGTTTTATTTCCATCAGGACTTTCTGTTTTGAGTCTTCTCTGATGTTTACCAATCCCAGTGTTCTATGTACTCACACGTTTCATTTCTGGTCTTTTGCAGGGAAGATTTACATGTTCAGGATCTCTAATGTAGGCTTCTCAACCTCCCTAAACTTCAGGATTCAGGACCACACTATGAAGCTAGTTGAGGTTGAAGGATCTCATGTAATGCAGAATGAATATGACTCTCTTGATGTACATGTTGGACAATCTGTGGCTGTCTTGGTTACCTTGAACCAAGCACCAAAGGACTATTACATTGTGGCGTCCACAAGATTTACCCGCCGTGTTCTCACTGCAACTGCAATTTTGCACTACACGAACTCACACACCCTAGTTTCTGGACCACCACCTGCTGCTCCTGCAACTGCATACCACTGGTCAATGCAGCAAGCTAGAACATACAGGTATACTTTAATGAACAATTTCTTTCTCAGTGATTGAACCTGAGAAGGTATTTCATATTTAAATTTTCATACAATTGGTCATAATTAATTATTTTCTCTGTTCCTTAAAGGTGGAATTTGACAGCAAATGCAGCCAGACCTAATCCTCAGGGATCTTTCCATTATGGAATGATAACACCAACTGGGAGAATTATTTTCGAAAACTCAGCACCTTTAATAAATGGAAAACAGCGTTATGCAGTCAATGGTGTTTCCCATGTTAGTCCTGATACTCCTCTCAAGCTTGCTGATTATTTTAACATCCCTGGAGTTTATAGCTTGAATTCCATCCAAACTGTTCCTTCCGGTGCTACTGCAACTGTTGGTACCTCTGTTATCCCATGTTCTCTACACGATTTTATTGAAATTGTTTTCCAGAACAATGAAATGACCATGCAATCTTGGCATCTTGATGGTTATGATTTTTGGGTTCTTGGGTAAGTCACTGTGCCTTTCTCATTTTGTTTGTTGCAACTTGGATAGGTTCTCACCTTTCCCTTTTACATTCTGTATACAGTTATGGCCGTGGACAGTGGTCCGAAGCTAAGAGAAGAACCTACAATCTAGTTGATGCTTTCACTAGACACACCGTTCAGGTAACTTCAATTGTGGTCCCAAACAATTTGATGTTCCTTTTTTTCTTTGTTTTTTAAGTCAAGCATGACTTTATTCTATTTTTCACTACCATGGAATTGTCTCTACTCTCTCTTCCAATTCCGAACCTCAGTAATGGATTAAAGAGCTAACAAATTTGGGTTCCATGGTTTTAAAGAAATATTCTGAAGACAGGAATGCCTACATTTACCCTGTTGTGTTCTAATACATTTTCCTTCCCCGAATGCATTTTCTTGTAGGTATATCCAAATTCTTGGACAGCCATATATGCTTCCTTGGACAACCAAGGTATGTGGAACTTGAGATCTGCAAAATGGGAGAGGCAATATCTGGGGCAACAATTATACCTCAGGGTCTGGACCCCAACTAAGAGTCTTGCTAATGAATATGATATTCCTTCCAATGTTCTACTATGCGGTAAAGCTGCAAAACTACACCCTTAGTTTGGTACAATCCATACTAAGTCTCCATCTCAGTCGTGAGGGTTTGACCATAAAGGGCATCTACATGTTTGCTTTCTTTGTTTGTATATCTTAGAAACAATAGATTGAGATGATTCCGTTACATTGTACTCTTACGTGAGGTTCAAGTGATTGAATTGTTTTTTATGAAATGTTCATGATTCATGAATTTTGGATTATTGTTGATCCAAATCATTCTATCCAACAAATTGGTCACCTGTTTAGTATTATTGTCCAGCGAAGTAAGCTTTTTCTCCAACAGAAAAATCTTCTACAGTCTTTCCTACATAGACTACAAAAGATGAAAGATTCGTAAGGCTCCTGTGAGACCAGGAGCCCATCCGATTGATCATTGGGCTGTCATGTTTGCAATTTGTGCTGGACTGACTACAAAACACCGTTCTGTGTCTCCCATTGACAAAAATGACTCAACAACATACCCTATGGATACCGTGACACGAACCCACAAAGCGGTGACACTGACAGCAAGGTTTTATCCCAATCTAGGGGCCAAACTCCATTGAATGATGGGAAGTGGCGACCACCGCGAATCGACTTTTTTCTTCTAACTTTCAAGAACTCAATTTGCTTTTGTGTTAAGAAATGTCCATGTTTTGTCTAACTGGTAGGGTCTTTCTCGTTGACATTGCACGGACACTATTGCCTTGTTGAAGGAATGTTAAAACGCACAAGCCATAGGTTTTGTTAAGACTGAGCATCACTCGAGCACATGGAGAATATAATTTCACAGGTCTTGAAATCAAGTAGGTCTTAGGAAGTTGCAGCCTGTGTATCATGTGTATTCTCATCTTGCGAGATCTGTCATAGGGGTATCCATTTTCATGTCTAATTCAATTGCTAACTTCAAATATAGGTATACAAACATCAATAAACTTCAGGATCCAAGGACATACGATGACCCTGATTGAAGTAGGAGCTCACACCACGCAGGAAGTGTACTAGTCCCTAGATGTTCATCTGAGTCAATTTGTAATTGTCTTGGTCCCCTTATATGCACATCAACCCAAAGACTTTTTCATCGTGGCTTCCACTCGTTTCACAAAGCTTGTTCTCACCGCCACAGCGATTCTTCACTACTTAGGCTCCAAAGTCCCCCCCTCCAAGCCACTACCTATTGGCCCAACTTATCATATTCACGGGTTCATGAAGCAAGCCAGGACAATCATACTCTGTTTTTGGACACATACAGAACATTAAATTGTGAATGCTGACTTTCTTTTCTATGTTTTTAGACTGAATTTGACAGCAACTGCAGCGGGTCCTAATCCTCAAGGCGCATTCCATTACGGGACAATACCCATTGTCAGGACACTTGCTGGCTGGTATAACATCCATGGGTTCTTCGACTAAGACTATACAGGACAAGCCCACTTATGCTCTGAACATTTTTTGGTTAATGCCTATTTTAGTCTTCAAACTTTTGATTTTAAACATTTTTAGTTCTTAAATTATTTTTTTTATACATTTTTGGTCCCTAAACTACAAAAAAATCTATTTTTTTAAACTTTTTTTTATCAATTAATCTATTAAATTTGTCCATATATGTACATTTTTTTTAAATCTTATTAGTTGAGTGCTTTAGTGGACTAATCAATACATGCTTCATTAATTTTCAACTAAATGATTAGAGACTGGGTGTCCAAGCCAATGACGTCTTTGGCCCAATGACAAAGACTGAAACCCATAACCTTGAAATTGTGGTTCCTTTATAGTGTTTTCTTCAAGAATGCTTGTGCTTTACTTTCTATAAAACAAATAATAATAATAATAATAATAATAATAATAATAATAATAATAATACACCCTTTAATTTGACACATTTTGATATTGACCTAATTTGGTTATTAAAATATAAAATAAGTATAATCAATTTATCTGATTCTTACATGTTTTATATATAGTTGTATGCTTAAGTTTGCATGCCTTTAATTTTAAATAATAAAAAAATAATTTTTAGGTTTTATTTATCCTATGTCTTTAGGATATAGGTTAAAAACATAATAAATGTACTTTTTTATAATTAATTTCTATTGAAAGTGTAAATGTTGACTTCACTTTAATTAATTAACCAATTAAAATCATTTATGTGTTAGTGATGTTAAAATATATATTAATTTTTATAATTTTTTATGTGAATTAATTATAAAAAGGTGCATTTAATATACTCTTAACTTGTATTCTTAGGGTATAGATTAACCAAACTTATAATTTTTTAATGAATGCATTGTATAATATATTAAATCAGAGTGTGTATTAATTAGCGTAAAAAAAAGAAAAAAGAAAAAGAAAAAAGAGTATCCAAAATGAAAGCATCCGAAAAGTTTGCTGATACTACAGAATATGTCTCCACTTCCACATCCAATCCACCAGTTTAAGGAAACCCTATGAAGCTTTGAGTTAACCAACACCAACCAACATCTGAATCTCTTTTTCCATGTCTGTTTATAAGATCTCCTGCGAATAATTTACTTATACTATGAAGACCGAATAAAATTTATACCATAATATATTCTTGGTCTCATGAGAAAGGGCTGAAACATGACATAAACAACCCTATAATTGGTATGTTTGATTTGAGAAAATGTAAGAGAAGGGGAGAAAGAATTTTTTGTTCAATTAAATTAAAATTTTAGCCCAACACTCTGGATAAAAAAGTTTCTCTAATTTTCCCTCAAACTCTCAAACCAAACATACCTTAGTCACAAATGACTAAGTCCCTGAAATTTGATGAAACATTCTTAGAAGATTGGAGAGTAACTGAAGATCACCTAAGACTTTCAAAGATTGGCGAACTGAGATCACCTTTTACTACAATTTCTTCTTGGTACAATATCTGATCATAAGTTAAAACACACCTAAAATCACACAATAAAAAGAGAGAGAGAGAGAGAGAGAAACAAAAAAAAAAAAAAAGAGTACCGATTCTATGCACATACCACAACCAAGACAACCACAGGAAGGAAATGAGACATTAGCGTATGAAAGGTGAGCTGTTTAAGGATATGCACCATTTGTTGTCTGAAGATCAGACCACGAAGAAAACACCGGATTCCAGCAACCCAACTCATGACCTCCCGCAGCCACTGGAGCCGACTCCAAAATGGATGTAGAAGATGAAGATGAAGCTACATTGCTGAAAATTACTGCCGAGTTATCCGAGTAGTGATTTGTTGATGATGATTTCAGCCTTTGGTACAGTTCTTGAATCCCCGTGTTTTGCACTTCACTCAAAATGATTCCGTTCTGCTGGTTGTTTTTCCAGAAAGGGCTGCAGAGACCCAGAGAAGGAACTTGGCTCAGAGGATCCAAGTTCAGGGTTCGGATATTCAGCGCACCAGTTACAAGTGGTTCGGTCATTCCTTGGGAATGAGACCCCATCAAACCCACCTCCTGCTTCACAGGATTGGGGTTAGGATTGTGGCTGTTGGCTCTGAGTAAGGCTAGAATATGGGAGCTCTTTGGAGAGGCCCAAAGAAGCGGATCATGGTCTGATCCATTTCCGAGCCCGGATCTTAACCCAATTTCAGACACCACAGTTCTCATCTTATTAGCAGCAGTGGATTTTCCAATGGAAACACCGGTATTCCTGTTCTTCCGGCATCCACCTCCGATAGGAACATTCCGAAGAGCACCACCTTTTGTCCAGTACCGGCGACAGGTCTTACAGAAGTGCCGCGGCTGCGTGAGGTTGTAGTTGTTGTAGTAACAGAACTTGGTGTTGGAGGAATCGCATCTTGGACACCTCAAATTTTGGCTCTCTAATTATTGTTTTTTTCCCAAAAAGTAGAAGAAGTGCCAAGGTTAAAAATTCTGACTACGAAGACTACTATACTCCAGAATTAAGATTTTGAAATTCATCGTATACCTGAATTGGAGGAAGTAGCGGCGGAATTAGTGGCAGACGTGGTGGACGAAGAAGGAGATGAAGAGGGAGAAGGAGAAACCGAAGGTGTTCCTTCTAAAATCCCTCCATTGATCGGCATTTTCCTCTCCCCTACTATAAGCCCTGCGCCACCAAGTAATTCTTGAATCATCTTTTCTTCGTCTTTTGTAGACCTACAACAACCCAAAAACAAGAAAAAGCAAAGAATATGAGGTTTTTTCGAGTTAGTGGAAAAGCTAAAGTAGGTTTTGTTGCGTATTATGGATGATTGATGTGGGGAGGATGAGTAAGGAGGTGGAGACTTGACTTGCCTTTGCTAGCTGCTTCACTTGAATGGATAGAGTGGGTGGATGGATGGGTGGAACATAGAGGATGGGGGTATGTGGGGAAGCTTTAATATATAGATAAAAAATCTTAAGGGTGGAGTTAGCTGCTTCAATGTTTATCCCTAGGAACATGTTGTTTTGAATTAATCATTGGAAATTTTGGTCTAGTTGGATGTCCGGTGCCAACATCTAAGCGGTTTAGTGGTTTTAATTAAAATTAAATATCTTAAATTTGAATTGTAGGTATTTAAGTAAAAGTGATAAGTAAAGAAATGTAAAAAATAAAAAATAATTTCTTATATTATGCAATTCAATATGAAAATATATATATATTTCCGGTGTTATATTAAAGGACCATGATGTGTGCACACTCG